TTGGCAAAATCACTGACTGCATCTATTCCTGCACAGGACCAGAAAATAATAATTATGAGAATAGTAGGACATATTTCAGCCTGTGTGCAGTTGAATGTGACTCAGGGAGTTTTGAAGGGAAAGAAACAGCTGTATTAGATGGTTATGGTTCGCTGTATTTAGAAGAAATTACTGCACAGACATGCTTATTTTGATGATCAAGTTTGATATTTTAAAGCTTTCAGGAAGCCCTGTAGTAAATATTTTAATGTGACGTGTTAAATATATTTCAGCTGGTCTTACATAAGAAAAATGAATCGAAATAAAATAATAAAATTTCAGAAACAATTTTTTGTTGTGCTATTGGGTGTGCTTTTTCTCTCTTTTTTTTTTTTTTCTCTTTTTTTTTTTCTCTCTTTTTTTTTCCCTTCAATAAAACGTGTGCTTTCTAGGTAGTGAATGGGAGATTCCTTTGCTACTTTAGGTTTCCGATAACGAATTGTCGGCTTCTCAAGGCTGCGACACTGGCAAAAAACATGTACATGTGTAATTCTAAGCAAGGGAGCAGCTCAACTGGTGTTCAACTATCCTGTGTAAAATTACTCATAGCCAGTTTGTGTGGGATCAAGGTCTTTGTTGGCTGTACCCAAGGCTCATCTCATTTAGATATTAGTAAAAATGTTACTGTTTTAAATAGACTTTCATTCTGCAATGCTCTCTATTTCTGCATATTCTTTATGTCATTGGTTAAATTCAGCTTTGCAGTGATCACTTCAAGTTAGGGCTCTGTCCTGCAGCCTTCCCGAAATGACCTCCCTGCCCTGAAGGAGGAGACCGCTAAATCGAATAAGCGTTGTAGGATCAAAAGAGTTACGAGGTCCAACCTGCTGGCAGGTACAATGGCAAAGCCTCTGATCTTTTTGTCTGGTCCCTTGGTACCAGGTAAATAGGTAGGACCTGATCCAGAGCAATAGGGGGGGTTCTGTTAAAGTCAACTGAAAAGGTTACGGCGCTGGCTCAGGTCGTGATCTTTTTAGGATTATTACTATTT